CCCCCGCAGATGCTGGATTCTCGCATCTGTAGGAGGCGGCGGTCTGTGAGGGGCTCCAGACTTGTTGTTCCCCCACTAATCTGCAGAATGGGTACGGAGTGGGGGGAGGGGCTGCAGCAATGAAAGGGCACCTGAGGCGAGTGGGCTATTAGACACCCAATATCTAGACGGGTTTGGGGGAGGGTGAGAATGTTCCTACTGAGTATTGAGAACTGGAGGGTGGAGGTGGGGGGAGAGATTACCATATTATAGAAATAGGCTGACTAGGGTGGACTTTGGGTTTATTTTATATTCATCTTTGCCTGTCATTCTCTGTCAGAATCTTCTGGTTTGGGTCCCTGTGGGAGAGGTCGCTCTCTGGAACCCCGTTTGCCCAATATCTCGCGCCCCTCCCCTCACCTGGGCTAGAATAGGGGTCATGGCCAGCTTTTTTGCAACAACAATATTTTAACGTGTTCCAATCTGGGTTTTGTTGAATAATTAGAAATGGAAATATTTTTTTTCTCCCTCCCCCTTATGGAAAAAAAAAAAAAGGAAGAAGAAAATGTGAGCTCTCTCCTGATTGGTGGGTGACGATTTTAGTCCGTACCAATGAGCTGGCAGCCTCGTCTGTATTTATTTAGTGCTCTGGGGGAGTTTTTCTCTTTACGCAGCGCCTGTAGTCACGGCTGGAACCTCGGCTGGGGGACTAGGAGGGATACGAGGGGTTTTAGGGGGAATCCGAACTCTACCTGTTTAGAGATCCGCGACCTTGCAGCGGGGCTGGCGCAGCCCTGGAGAGGGGAACGGGGCCGATAGGATAGCCGGGGAGGCTCGAGTGTTAGAGCTACCGGAGAGGGGTGGAGGCTGGGCGGCGGGGTTCCTGGTCCCCCTCGGCGCTCCTCTTCTCGCTCTCCGCACACCTCGCTCGAGGCTGTGCCGGCTGAGTTGGGGGATCGCGGACGGTGTGGAGAAATGCAGGGATGGGTCGGGGGGCGCGGAGCGGAGCGGGAGAAGGCGGGCGGCGCGGGGTGGGGAGGCTGA